AAATAATTTTACTAATCATAATTTTTGCAGTACAATCTTGTAAAATGCTCAAAAGAACTACCCTTACAGATTTCTAAAAACATGAACTTTGTATATATGCTCGTAACAATAAATTGACTTGATCCCAGTATGTTGATTGGATAGAACAACAATGGGGTGTTAGAGTTAATGAAAGCACAATTTCACATATTTTTTTAAAAAAAGATAAATGAATTAGTTCTCAAATTATTAATTCAAATACCAAGCGTCAAAGAGCGATAACATATCCAGAACTTGACCAAGCCCTAAAAGAATTTGTGCTAATTTATCAAAATAACCCAATTTTAAGTGATGCAATATTTGTCAAAAAAGCCAAACTACTTGCCAATAGCTTGGGAATTTCTGAGAGTGCATTAAACTTTTCTCATGGTTGGCTTGATAAGTTTAAAGATTGAAACAATATTTGTCAACATAAACTTGAAAGAGAAGCAGAGTTAGCAGATGAAGTGGCTATTATTAATACCTTACTTGCTCTAAGAAACAAGTACTCCAACTATCCAATCGAAAGAATCTATAACATGGATGAGACAGGGCTTTTTTTTAGGTATAAGCTTTATTAATACATTTGCATGCTGCAAAAAAAAAAAAAAGGATACAGTGTCTAGTAATGGAAAAATATGCATTTTCTAATAACATGTGCATGTTGTATAAAATGCACATGATATAATTTTCAGAAATAAAATTTAAATAGGATAAAATAAATGTGCATTAATGTGTACAATTAAGAATCATATACATAGTATTGATTATTTATTTAAATAATTAATGATCCTATTTTCCTTTGAAAATATATATTAATTACTTAAACTTACTTTATAGGTTAGAACCCAATCGATCATTAGCAACTCGACGTCTTTCTGGGCACAAAGTAGATAGAGAATGTCTTCAATTGCATTATGCACAAATGCTGATGGCTCTTATAAAATAGTATCTTTTGCAATTGGCAAATATGCCAAATCATGCTGTTTTAAAAATATTAACCTTAAAAATTTAGCTGTTATATATAAAAACAGTGCCAAGGCATAGATAATTATTTCCTCTTTCAAACATAGTTTCAAGAGTTCGATTGTCAAGTTGGTTTAAAATATCAGGTCAACATGTGCTGTTGGTTCTCGATAATTGTTAAAGCTATAAATTAGATGGCCTTACCTTACAATTCACTGATATTGTATTTCTTTCTTCAAGAGCAACCTCCAGGATCCAACCACTAGATGCTGGAATCATAATGAGCTTCAAGAGACACTACTATCGTCTTCATATTTGGTAAGATTATAACTGTTTTTACAAATAAAATTTACATATATATATATATATATATATATTTTTTTAAGCTAGATATTAGAAGAGGTGTGGTGACTTAGTGAAGTGGTCTAGTTGTCACCCTCACCAAACGTTATGGGAAGATCCCATGTTCGAATCC